TATGTCTATATATGTGTATATATGTATCTATGTGTATATATACATTTATGAATGATATTAATGTATATACATGTATATATACATATATATGTAAGTGTGTGTATGTATGTATGTAAATATGCTTTTTTTGTAACAATAGCAGGTCCTGATTAGTATCAAGACTCATACTATCATTCAGCTTTTTTGTTCATGGTTGGCACTCTACAATACGGGCCATCCATCCAGTCCAGCATTTTGATGGTTCATTGGAAATGGAATCTCCTAGATTTATTTATTTGCCAAAGCAAGCTCAAACCACAAAACTCCTGTATACTTAAGAATGCGTGTGTGAGCCACCAATTGACTTTAAGTTAAGCAAAAGGGCCATCCGGAAATGTAGATCAAAAGCACATTTAAAAAGTACCTGTCTGACTTTAGAGACTCCCAAATAGTAACCAGGCTTACAATTATTCTCCATTTTCATTAATGCTTCCAACCTTGTACATCTTCTCATGCTCAGGGTTTCTAGCCAGCTCTTGATCTTTCTTTGTGACTGAGGTTTCTTGTGCTCTGGAGCTACCCCCAGTTCCATGGACATTAGGCTTTTGATTCACATGTTCCTCATGACATTGTAAGCAAACTCCTTGCAACAAATCATTTTGATAGATTACCTACTGGTTCAATTTCTCCTTTAGTTTTTGGATCAAGTTGATGGGGATTCCCATCAGCTCCTTTCCTCAAGCTCTTGAGTACTGAAAATACAGCTGTCTTTACCAAGTCTGAACAACATTTAACCCCTGCTTTTCTCAGAGCAGAAGAAAAGGTAAACAAAATTCCAGGAGAATTTAAAGAATACAGGCAAGGAAGAATATCTACAAGGCATTATATCAGTGTGTGTGTGTGTGTGTGTGTGTGTGTGTGTGTGTGTGTGTGTGTGTGTGTGTGTGCATGTGTTGTATGTGTGTGTGTGTGTGTGTGTGTGTGTGTGTGTGTGACTGCTAGGTTTTAAACGCAAGGCTGTGCACTTTCCAAGCAAGAACTCTCAAGTCTGAGCCCCATCATCAGGCCTTTTGTTCTACATACTTTTTATTTAAGATCTTAGTTTATTCCTGGACCAGCCTCGACCATGATCTTCTATTTATACTACCTACGTAGCTGGGCTGATACTCAGCTTATTATTGGCTGACATTAGGTCTCACCGGCTTTTTCCTCATCTGGCCTTGAGCCATATCCTCCAAATCTCTACCTCCTGAGTAGGTAGTATTACAGATGTGACCAACTATGTTCAGCTATATCATATTTTATGCGTCTTTTTCTTTTTTTCTTTACTTTTCCTTTTTTTCAGTTATGAGACTTGAACTCTGGGCCTGGGCACTGTTTAAGGTAAGCAATCTACCACCTTGAGCCACAGTGCCACTTCTGATTTTTGAGTGATGAATTAGGAATAAGAGTTCCATGGGGACTTTTCTGCCAGGGTTGGCTTCAAAGCATGATCCTGAGATCTCAGTCTCCTGAGTAGCTAGGTGTGAGATAGAAGTGCCTGACAGGTTTTATGTATCTTTCTCTTGTTTCATAAATTCAATGAGTAAATTTGCACGTGGACTTTGAGAACCAAGACTAGTTGTTTAGAACTTGTAAATACTATAATTGTAAAAATCGAGCACTTCCATAGATGATGCTTTTTATTTTCCATTATATCCTTACTTCAGTAGTAAAAAATAATTTTTCTTACTGATATGAATTCTTAGTAGAGGTATTTTAGATATTGCCATTTTTCTCACAGATGAAACAAATATCCATTTGATATACAAAAAGTACTCAGTCATCAGTTTTAATATTACAGTACAAATGAGAATCTTCAATTCTGATTTTCTTCCTAAAACACAAAGGATAATTTTAGTACAAGCATTAAAATATCATTAAAGAATGTCCCAACTAAACATGAGGAGCTGAATTAATTTTTATGTTACATGATTAGCAATATACCAAGTGACAGATAAGAAATAATGATGTACTTTCAAATTATATGTTTTTATTTTCTTTTATAAAAGTTCTGCCTTTTGTTGATGTGGTCTAAATATTTTATAAGAATTCACAGTGAAGGGGCTGGGAAGGTGGCTCAGTGGTAGAGCGCTTGCCTTGCATGCCTGAGGCCCTGGGTTCAATTCCTCAGCACCACATAAGAAAAAAGAAAAAAGCCAGAAGTGGCGCTGTGGCTCAAGTGGTAGAGCGCTAGCCTTGAGCTGAAGAGCTGAGGGACAGGACCCAGGCCCAGAGTTCAGGCCCCACGACTGGACCAAAAAAAAAAAAAGAATTCACAGTGAAATGTTAAATAGCATTCTAAGTATCACCAAAATTTTTCTTTTGTCCTTCATTTCACTTTCTTCCTTTCTATTTCTGTGTTTTTTTCAACTTTTCTCATATAATAAATTAACACATTTAAATCATTTCTCATTTTTTTTAGTACATCAGATTGAAATCAGAGTCATAAATCTTTTTCTGTCCTTCTAAAAAATACATAGAAAAAAATCAATGAAATGCTTTTATTTGATAGTAGAAAAGTAGTTGAAAAATAGTGGGTCCCTTTTTATTCAGATAGGTTAAGGGCCAAATTTTCTTTGAATCAATATATGAAATAAAATATCCTCTTAATGTGGCTTTGTTTTCAAATTTCTATTTCTGTGTAACAAAAGAAGTAGTGGGAAAATAGCTTTGTACTCAGTTGTCCTGGGGAATGTTTACTATTTTCATATGATTTATTTTTCCAATGGATAATGGATAATTTTAAAAAGCAGTCTCCAAACACACCGTTTACCTGAAACTGCTTTGCACCCCACACTACAGAAGCCATTGTGATATCAGTAATTGTCATTCTGACGTGGTCCACACAGGAGGTACTCCTGCTAGCTCCGTAAACATGATTCTTAGAAGACATAAAGCTGAAGTCCTGGACCTATGAGAAGACATAATGTGTTAGGAACTCTTTCACAGTCTGTTCTTATGTTAGTATTTCACCATACAAATGTCAAAGTGTTCTCAAGGCATGTATCAACGTGTTCTCTTTTATAAGAGACATGTTACCTCCACTTTCATTTACAGGGCGGCTGCCCAAAATATTGTTAGTGAACACAACTCCTTAGTGAATTCAGAGAGCAAGAGACTAACCTTACTAACTTACTTGCATATATTATTGACTGATTTGGGGAGTCTGTGCACACTCTGCATGGTATTTTTATAAGACATTTTCTATATCTGTATCCTGAGCACTTACCAGTTACTTTCCATAATAGGTGGCACCTTTATACTTCTTAAAATGTTAAATTGTTAAAGAAAAGGAGAATGGATTATCTATGACTTTAAACTTAAATATTAGTGCATCCTAGAAAATTTTAAATTCTATTTATGATGAACTAACAAATACTAGTACATCATAAACAGAATTTTATCCTCTTGTTATAAACTTCTATAAGGAGATAAAATAGAGCTTACAATACGTTGTCATTATCTAGATAACACATAATACCAGGAAAGATTCATCCTCCCTTTTTGTTCACTTAAGATAAATTTCAAAACCATTACTCAAGTGAATAGAAACATCTGAAAGAATATCAGGAATAAAAGTTTGTATATTGACCAGCTTTTAAACTTCTCAAATATAAAACAGGTCTTTAGAAATCCTAGACCTCCTCTCCCCCCTCCCTAAAAAAAGTGTGGAGAGACTAAACACTTCTTAAGTAACTCAAGAATGTAAAAGGTGTTGAACCAACTATAAGACTTTCAGGTGGATCTCCAAAAAGGGCATGGTCTAAGCATAAGTCTCAACTGGTGATAAAGCTTATAACCTTGAAATAAGAGCAAATCCTGTACAGAATCAACTAAGATAACATAACACCAAGGCCTATGACAGCCTTATAATAAACTACTAGTAATTGCACTGTGCATTAGAATAGGTATTAGCATTCTTAAGAAATTATATGGTAAGACAGAATTTCAATATTTGGCTCTCTGTAATGAGTAAAATATGGTATAAAATTACTAGACATAAAAATATAATAAGTAAGAAATAAGAGGGAAAATAGACCAAAACAGTATCCATATTTGGAGTAGGTAAAAATTTGTCAAATCACTTTTAGTTATTGTACAAATTACTGTAGACAAGCAGTTTTGACTGCATTTATCAGTAGCAAAGATTTCTATGCTATCAGTAGCAAAGATTTCCATCCATGACCATTTAGTTATTTCTTGGGGTGTGCAATATAGGTCATCTTGGTGGCATTTATCACAGAGGATAGATGCTCAGTTCATGTCAGTCACAAAGACAGAAAGGGGTAGCATGTTTGAGTAGCCTTTTCAAAGGAACTTCCCAATGACCATTTTTCTTCTACTGGACTGTTCCTAATAAAGGTTTTACTTCCTTCCAATAATGCCATGAGCTCAGGACTAAATAAATAAATGAATGAGACATTCGAGTCTATGTAAGATCTATGCTGTGGTAAAAATGATCCTATACATAGCTATGAATGATCTGTGGCAGATATACAATATTGAAGGGGGGCAAAAACTCTATTATACACAAACATTTCTCAAAATGTTAAGAACCATCATTTGAAATACTGAAGCTAAGAGCTCAATGAACATTCCAATTTTAGGTCATAGCATAGAAGAAGAGAGATTAGTCATTTTCCAAGACAGAATAATGGAAATGTTTAAATCAAAGCATCCAAAGGAAGAATTCTTCACAAATAGAACACATATTTGAGGAAAGATAAATAAAAAAATCAAAATGTGCAATACACATGTCAAAAAAAGGAAAATATGTAAAGAAAATATCGTGAGCACACATATTCATGTAAAAGAAAGTATATTTCTGCTTTACTCAAAAGAATACAATAAATGTGAAAAACACATATATTAAGTAAACTGCCTGGAAACTTCATTGGGCAAGTAGAAGAGCTAATGATAAGCATAATCTTATGTATGAATCTCATGAGAATTGTCTTCAACAAAAGAAGCTAGCATCAAAAAATTTCATGACTTATGATCTCATTTATATCATGTTTAAAAATCAATGTGAACTGCTCTTGGTTTCTCGTGTAACAGCTCTTAGGCTATTGACTAGGATAGGGCATTAGAGAAACATCTGAAAACACAGATTTTCTGTGTGGGCTTCAGCATGTGATTTGCAATGAGAACATCATCCTTCCATGTTGAAAATACAGACAATTAAATAATAAACTACTGGGCTGGGAAGGTGGCTCAGTGGTAGAGAGCTTGCCTTGCATGCCTGAGGCCCTGGGTTCAATTCCTCAGCACTACATAAGCAAAAAGAAAAAATAAGCCGGAAGTGGCACTGTGGCTCAAGTGGTAGAGCGCTAGCCTTGAGCTGAAGAGCTGAGGGACAGTGCCCAGGCCCAGAGTTCAGGCCCCATGACCGGACCCAAAAAATAAATAAATAAAATAAAAATAAACTACTCTATGGGTAGGTAATTAAATTCAATATCATTTAGCATGATACATCTTCCAGGGAGAGGTTGTGAAGGATCTGGGTCCTTACCCAGAAAAAGAGTGAACACACTCCAGATCCAGCTGTCATAGGAGACTGACCAAACAACAAGGGAGGACTTGTTGGTGTATAAGAAAAGATGGGAAGAGATATAAGAGGCAGAACCAACTATTTAGGATTTGGGGTGGTGGTGGTAAAGGATTCTCTAAGGATTTAAGTGCCAAGGTTAAGTGACTCTCCGTAAGAGGTCATCGTGGTCACTTTGGGCTATCGTCAAAGAAAACCAGAGGCTGTGAAGCTTACACAATAAAAACTTATCTGTCACAGAAAGTCCACAGTTAGGTGCAATCTAGTGATGGTTCTCTTCCTACTTATGTTCTCTCATTTCCTGTGGGCAGTAATCCAATCAAGAGCTCCATCCCATTACCAAATCTAACTTAATATCCTCACAAAAGTCTTAGCTTCTGATGTGATTTTAAAGGGGAAGGCTAGAACTGGGATTTGTTCAGGTTTTTATCACTCATTCCATGTTCTAGCTTTTTTAATTTTTTAAAATCCTTTAGTTATTGTTTAGATACAGTCTGGAGCTAATTTTTTTGATTCAGGCCTGTTTTCTTTTTCTTTTTTTTTAATTGTGAAAATACTGTACAGAAGGGTTACAATTACATGGGCAAGATAATGAGTACATTTCTTATCAAGCATTGTAGCCTCCTCCTTTGTTTCCCCTTCTCATCCCTTCCCATCCTTCCCCTGCCCCCCCACACTCAATCCTCCCAACTCCCCCTCCCCCCCACCAAAGTTGTAAAGTTCATTTTCGACATAACGACTTGTACATCTCATTGTTGCAATGGGTCCACCTGTATCCTTATTTAAACGATTTGTTTTTCCCCTTCCCCTCCACAAATTATACCGACATCAAATACAGTGAAAGCAGGGGTTATACTATGGGGGAGGGACATACAAAGCAACAAAGAAATAATCTTATAAATGTGTTAGAAACAGTCGCATGAAAGAAAAAAATTTGAATACATATCTTAGGGTTCATTTCCCTAACATCACCTTATCTGACCTTTTCTGCTTGACTCAGACAAATACTTGATATTGCAAATAAGGGAAACCATGGGACCTATGTTTCTTTGGGTTCAGGCCTGTTTTTAGACTGGTTCTCATATATATATATATATGATATATATATATCATATATATATGTTTCATATAGCTGTTGTCATAGATAAGTACTGTTATGTTTAGTTTATTTGCTTAGTAAATTTTTACTGTGGTTTGCCTTAAACTGCTAACTTTCTAATCTCAGCCTCCTGAGTAGCTGGGATTATAAATGTAATCCATTGCATCTGGCTAGATTTACGATTTGTAGAGGAAGATAAAGATTTAGTTCATAGTAGAAAATCATTTTACATAGAGGAAGATGAAGCTGTACACATTATTTCATGTAGTAATGCTAAAAGGTTACAAAAGTGTTCCTTTTGGATTTGGTTTACAGATACCTATAATTTAAACACCTGTATCTATCAGATAACCATAATTTAAAAGCATACTATTGAAAATAGATTTAAGTAATATTTTTAATCATATAACTCACACTGGAAGTAAATTGCCAAGGCCCATTTCTGAACTTAGGTTTGACAAGTTTACTCTTTCTCCTTTCTAAATAATGTTATCCCTGTTTTGAATCTTATATATTCAAGTATACATATAGTTAGAAACATTGACAAGATTTTTCTGGGCAAGAAGACTTTTTTAAATGCTTCAAACACACACACACATAAAATGAGTGTTCACTATATTAAAGAGCCTTGTCCTATAATTCATGACACGGAGCCCTATAAATCCAACCACATTTCACAAGAATAGTGTCTATTTAATATATAGTCAAGAATTCCTTGATTTGGCTTGGTAGTTTGGGATGTAATCTTTAGCTCACATATCTTATTTTATCTTAAAATAGATTGTAAATTCTCTTATGGTAAATATCATGACTTAACATTGCCTTTAATATGCCCTTAGCAACTATATACATAACATATTATATATAGCAGACACTAATGTTCACAGAACAATTCTTATTTTTCCTTTGACACATGTGCAGCAATGTGTGTAAAAGAAAAAAAACTCAAACTTAAAAGGAACAGAAATGGAGAAAATTGCTTAGGAAGAAGGAATCACAAAAAGTCAAAGAGGTCACCATGGTAACACCAGATTCAAAATTATCTTCGTTTCTGATATTTCTCATTTATTGATGGCACAGGACTCCATCTCGCGATCACATCTACATTCCTGACATTACATGCCTGATCCATAATAAATTCAAAATTAAAGAAAATATATTTTTACGGTTGTATATATGATGATTGACTACACTTTTTTTTCTTAAATGTATTTTTGACATTTAACAACACATTGGTTTCTTTCTTAATGTTTAAAAAATAAGATAGGAAAAGAAGACATATGAAAATTTTAAATAATAATCTGTGCAAAAAATGTAAAATTCAGAATTGATGATAGACAGAGTTCTATTTTCCTGAAAAGTTTATTAAGGATGTTGTTTCCAAGTCAACCATTATGGTTTATGCTTTTCAATTTCAAAAGAAAGTAAAAATCAAAATGCATGTTCGTGTATTTCCAGATGTTTACAAAAGAAATCTAGCTTTTCCTTTACAAATATGTTCTCTGCTATTTGCATGAAGAAAATAAATTACCCTGTTATCCTAAACTAGAAATCTGCCAGTTACCATGTGAAGAATAGTGTCCTTCCTAAGTGCAAGCAGAGTAGAAATGTGAGTCTCTCAAATTAATTTATTTTCCTGTTCACTTCCTCCTGATTAATTTATAATTACATTCATTTATGTATTTGAATAAACTACAATAGTGTACAACTGTTTTTTAACTAGTTTGAAGAATTTCAAACATTTTAAAACAAAAATTAATTTGTATATGCACGTAACTAGGAAGCTGAATTTTATTATATTACATATTGTGCAGCATCCTTCCAACACTTTTCCTCAACTCATCCTCTTCCTCACTTGCTCCTTTCTGTCTTTGAATTCCAACGAAAATATGTATGAAAAACATATCAACAAAACAAAACACAAACTATTCCAAAGCTCATTTATCTTAAAAAAAAAAACTGTCAATATTCTAGATAAATCCAGGAGCTTCCACACTATATTTCCCTCACAGTATTGTCGATAACTGAAATGGTCACTCTGTCATATAAGCATAATTATCCCTAAATCTTATTTATCCTTCATGTCTCGTCACAAACACCACTGCACACAGGGACTTGGTCAAATGTTAGTCTGCATTACCAGCCAGTTAATGAGCTCTTGGCTGCAAATAGGGGCTACAAATTTCATGTCTCTAACCAGTGTTAGAGCCTTTATTTAATCGAGCTGAGATGAGGATTTGGATTTATAAATTTTAAATTTTTGTGGGTGAGTCTCATGTGCAGTTTTATGCTTTCCTTCCCAATTTATATTGAACCATTCTGCTGTTCTTTCAGTATTTTTATTCCAGGACGAAGTGCTTTGTTGGCAGGAATTTTTCCCACTAGCACATAACAAAGTGATGATACATTATTAACATCATGACAAGTATTTTTGAGCATTTAATGACCTAAATTATAGTAACAAGGAAAGTAAGTATGAAGCTAGCTTTAAACAGATTTCCTCACTTTTATTGCATCTAGCAAAGCTTATGTTAACACTTTAAAACTATTGATGCAGAACAGGGCTTAACAATAAGATTTTTTCTCCATGAAGATCTGTATTTTAAACATTGCAGACTATATAGTTTCTGTTCATGCTACCACTCAAATGTACATCCTAACACAAAAGTATCCATGACAATACATTTGTAATGCAGCTCTTCTATTTACAAAATCAGATGGCTTTTGAATTTCATCTGTAGCTTATACTATGCCAACAAAATCATAAATCCGTTTTTGTCTACATTCCTGGTTCTCCAGATTTGCTACTTGATTCCTGAAGTTGATGGAATTTAAGGTTACTAGGAAATAACATGAAAATACTGACATTTGAGCAGCGCAATAGTGTTGTAGGACATAATTTATTATAGAAAGCACAATAAAGAACAATCAGCAATTAGAAAACATGACCATTTAAATTAAGATCATTTTAAAATTTATTTTTATTATATTTAAGTAGTTGTGAAAATGAGTGAATACAATTACTGTGAGGTGAATAAAAATTCTCAATATAATTTATTTTCCTTTTGATGATTAGGTGTACTTACTGGTATGTGAATGTGCAGTTGACATATGACAGTGAAGTCATAGTCAAAATAGCATAGAAAGATGGCAATGTCTAACTGTATTCATGTTCTTGGGAAGGTGTCTTGAATTAATAATTAAAAATTTCTTTCTTTTTTTTTGGGGGGGGGGAGGGCGGGTCCGGTCGTGGAGCCTGAATTCTGGGCCTGGGCACTGTCCCTCAGCTCTTCACTCAAGGCTAGCGCTCTACCACTTGAGACACAGCGCCACTTCTGGCTTTTTTTTTTCTGTTTATGTGGTGCTGAGAAATCAAACCCAGGGCCTCATGCATGCAAGGCAAGCGCTCTACCACTGAGCCACCTTCCCAGCCCTCAAAAATTTCTTTTTTATGTACAAGAATGTATGCAAAAAGATACACATTCTGTATAATAAAATAGTGTTTCTTAATTGCATGAAGTTCATTTTATTTTGTTTTTTGTCAGTAATGGGGCTTGAACTCTGAGTCTGGGCACTGTCCCTGAGCTGTTCAGCTTAAGGCTAGTGCTCAACCACTTGAGCCACAGCACCACTTCTGATTTTCTGGTGTTTAATTGGAGATAAGTGTCTCACGGATGTTCTTGCCCCAGCTTGCTTTGAACCCAATCATCAGATCTCAGGCGCCTGATCTCAGCAGCCACCGGCACTTGGCTGTACTTCACATTTTTGAGTGTCAATGAAACTATTTTGAATTTGTTTTGCAAAGAAAAACAATTGAAAGCAATAGAAGACAAAAGTCAATTTTGGATAGAAAAATTAATAACTTTTCATGACCCTTATCTTTTCCTCTCCATAAATTTTCTTTCATTTACTATTTCTTTTCTTTAAAAATTGGCTCATATTCCCATATACAGCCTGTATTTGCCTCCTGTCTTTAAAAGTCTTTAGAGAAATTACCCAACATATAATTAATCTTGGAGATAAAATTAAAGGAATAAAAAACAATCCTGATATGCTTATGTAATGAGGCAAAATGGACAGTTAATTCAAAATGGATAAAGTTATAACTTGAATTTTACCCATTGAGTTAAAGCTAGCAGAACCACAAAACTGGGAAAAATACTCATATAAAACCACATATTTGAATGCTTTAACATCACATTTATATGTATGGGACATATTTGTGGGAAATTGAAAGAAAAACAGAGTCAGACACAAACGATGTGCAATGCCTCAAAACTGTCCATTCCAGGAAAGACTATTTTTAGTGACATATGACAAAATACTTCAGGATTTAGCTGAAATGATCATCTCAGCTTGTTTATATAATAGAAATTGTCAATTCACTTACAACCTTATAAATACAGACAAATTGTGGCCAATTAAGGATATGGCATAATTCGCTACTTCTATAAAGATAAATTTTAAGTTTAACTAAACAATTTTTAATGGAAGCAATTGTATATCTCTTAACTAACCAAACACTAAAAACCAGATGCCATCTTGGAAGAATTAGTGCAGTAGTATATGTTTATAAAACATTTAACATCATGTACGATTTCTTCTAAAATGGTATGCATTGATAAGAGTATTACAGATTTTATTAAATATTGGGCACAAAACAATTTTAATTATAATGCTCTATGGTTTGTAAAATTAATAATTCAATCTCTTAATTTATCTACAATTTCTAGTTTCTCTACAATAAGCATACAATATTTTATAAGATCAAAATTTAAAGTTATTTTTAATAATGATAATTTCTAAGAAATGAAATGAAATAACTGATGCTTTTTTTCTTAAGTTTTCCAGCAGTAATAACAGGAAATGGAAGGATCAAAGATGAAGTCATAATTTCAAAGCTATATGTGTGTTGGTGCTGTCATTATCTGAAACACTGGCTGCAAATTAAGATATTTTAGAATAACAATTAATTTAGTTTGGTGTGTCATTATCAAGCCATATGACAGTGTTGACATAAGTAGGGATTCAGAGCTGAATTCAGAAAAGGAATTGTTGAAACGTCTTTGAGTAATACACAGCTTGTAGAGGTTGGATGCCTAGTCTGTTATGATTTATTAAACCCATTCTGCCGTTTTCATCTAGTTTCCTTATTACTCTGAGGAAAGCATTGAAATTTAATCATCCTAACTGAAATCCTTAGAAAAATCTATAAAACAAAATTCAAGGGCTTATTTAAATTTGAAAATAATATTTGAAAATTCCTACCATTGTAAACAATATTATCAGCAAATGCAGGAGGGAAATGCTTCCTAATCCTGACAGGTTTATAGCTAAATATTCCACCCCTATAATATATAAATGAGCCCATTTACTATACCTGGAGAAAATATGAGTTTAATAAAGCCTACTTAACTAACTTACAGTGTAACTAAGATATTTCATGCCATGTATTTTTAACATTTTGCAATTAAAAATTATTAAAATGTCAATATATTGAAAATAGAATTTTAAAATCTTTTTAAATTATTTTAAAAAGGGAGAAAGAATTGTTGGGTCATAGAGAAGCTCTATGTGGAGTCTTTTTAGGAACCTCCATACTGCTTTCAAAAGTGGTTGAACAAGTTTATACTCCCACCAGGAATGTAGTAGGGTTCCCTTCTGGCCACATCCCCTCCAGCATCTGTTATTATTAGATTTCTTGACTATAGCCATTCTAACTGGGGTGAGATGGAATCTCAATGTTGTTTTGGTTTACATTTCTTTTATGACTAGAAAAGTTGAGCATTTCTTCTTGTGTCTATTGACATTTCTTATTTTCTCTTCTGTGAAGTATCTCTTTAAGTCTTTAGCCCACTTATTACATGGGCAGTTGTTTCTTTCAGAATTTGTTGTTGGGGTATTTAATTTTTTGAGTTCTAAGTGTTTATAATGTACTGTGTGATTTTTTTAAATTTCTTTTGTATGTTCTTCCCCCATGGTATAAGCCCTATTTTCACTGTATTTGATTCCAATGCCTTGCATCTTGTATATATATTTTTCTAATTTGGGGAGGGGAAGAAAATAACAAAATGCTGAAATAAGGATACAGGTTGACACATTGTAACAATGAGATGTACAAGACACTATGTTGAAAACAAACTTTACAATGGGGGGAGTGGGATGAATCAGGAGTCAGGGAGGTAGGGAGGGAAGGGATGGCAGGGAAAAAACAAAGGAGGAAACAACAATGCTAGTTAGAAAATATACTCATTACCTTACTCATGTAACTGTAACCCCTCTGTACAGTATCTTTACAATAAAAATATAAGTATACAAAAAATTAAAAGAGGGAGAAAGGGGAAATAAAGAAGATAGAAGGAGGGGGAGTTTGGAGGTACATTGTAAGCATGCACAAAAATTTTACAATGAACCTTCTGATATAATATGAGCTAATAAATATGGTAAAATTAGCAGGGATTCAGTGTATCATGTCTGTAATCCTAGCTATTCAGAAGGCTGAGATCTGAAGATCATGATTGGAAGTCAACTGGGATGAAAAGTTAAGTCCCTGTGAAACTTATCTCCAATTAACTACCAGAAAGCTGGAAATGGATCTATGGCTTAAAGTGGTACAATGCTACCCTTGAGCAAATGGTAATAATGCAGTGTCAAATTCCTACTTTTAATGCATTTAATCATGGCTAGCAAAAGATATTTTGCATGCATCTTGGTATCAATAAATTTATAGAAAGAAATTCTAAGAGGTCGCCAAAATAGCTCAGTTGGGAAAGCATTAGACTGAAGAAATTCTACCCATTTGTCTTTTAATTTACAGACCATAGGATAAAAATTTCATCACTCATGCACTAGATTTACCTGTGGAAAACAAAGTGTGTGACAACTTTACTTTCAACCTTACATAGCACAACCACGTGTATGTCCTTACAAGGACCTGTCAGTGATAAAGAGAAAATACACACTAGTTGATATGGATGTGGCCATGTTGGCCACTGGCCAATCAAATCAGTTCTATCATCAAAGATTCTGTTTTAATAATTTCAACATGGAAAGACTAGAATTTAAAAATAAATACTAGCCTGTAATCCTAGCTACTCAGGAGGCTGAAATCTGAGGAACACGGTTCAAACCCAGCCAGGGCAGGAAAGTCGGTGAGACTCTTATCTCCAATAAAACATCAGAAAACTGGAAGTGGCTCTGTGGCTCAAACTGCAGAGTGCTCGCCTTGAGCTGAAGAGCTGAGGAACAGCGCCCAAGCCCAGAGTTCAAGTCCCATGACCAACAAAAATATAAAAAATAAATAAATAAATAATATATTACACTCATTATGAAGACTGTGAATCTTTGGGGTTTTTGATCACATGTTGGAAATACAACTAGGACAAAGGAGCTCTACAAAAGTAATAATTGTCTGTTTGATAAAACAGTGGGATTTGTATCTAAATAAATAGTGGATAGTAAACTGTTGACTTTGTAATGTCCAAGAATTAAAGATCAAGGTCTCCATTCCCCTGATTCTCCATTTACATCCATGTGTGAATACTTCATTTTTTTCATAGCCACTCTTCAAAGATGCTGAACCTCTAAACCATGAATAACCCAAGTTTTAAATGAACATTTTTATCAGTGCTTGACACAACTGATATATACATTCTACAACAGCTTCATGGGTAGATGTTAGATGATAGTAGATATTAAATATTATGTACCGAAAGATTTTGTTGTTTCATACAATGACACAATTGTTAATCCTAACATTTGTATGACCTTCTATGTATTTGGATGCCTTGTTCTGATTAATGTATTATTTTAAAGAAAAAATATATATTTAAAAGTCAAATATCTTGGTCTATAAACTTTTCTTTTTTATTCTTTTTATATATTTTTATTGTAAAGATACTGTACAGAGGGGTTACAGTTACATGAGCAAGGTAATTAGTCCATTCCTATCTAGCATTGTTACCCCCTCCTTTGTTTTTCCCCTACCATCCCTTTCCTCCCCACCTCCCCAACTCCTCCCTCTGCTCCCTTCCCCCACCCAAAGTTGTAAAGTTCGTTTTCAACTTAGTGTCTTTTACATCTTGTTACAATGGATCATCGTTTACCCTTATTTCAGCATTTTGTTATTTTCCTTCCCCTCCCCAAATTAGAAAAAATGTATATAAAAGATGCAGGACACTGGAATCAAATACAGTGACAACAGGGGTTGTACCTCGGGGGAAGATGATACCAAGAAACAACAACGAAAAATATCACATAGTACATTTTAAGTTCACTAAAAAGAACAACAGAAAGATAAAATATCTTGTGCCAAAGACTATCTACAAATTCAATGTGTTACCTATCAATATCCCAACCTCATTCTCCAAGGAAATAGAAGAAGCAATCCAAAAATTCATATGGAACAATAAAAGACCCCGAATATAAACTTTTCTTATTTAGTAATAAATTACCTTTGCACTTAGACATATTACTCAACATTTTTTAGAATATCTTTACTACCAGGAAAAAAAGATTATGGTTTAATAATTTTTATTAAGAATATTTAAGAAAATAATTGAGTGCCATTTGATTCATAGGTATTGTTCCTATAAACAAGATATTTCACAGGTTTTCTTTTCTTTGTTTTACTCCCATGTTGTACAAGTAGGCTTTATGTCTTCTTCCATGTATATGTGTATACAATACAAAAATCTTTGTAATGTAAAGAAATTATAATTTCCAAATATAACTAATTTGTATATTAGTATTAACTAAAGTATGGAATTTATTCCGATTTTCTTTTCTTTTTTTTTTCTTTTCTTTTTTTCATCTAATTAAATTTATTTCACATATCTACTTTGACTTTTCAAACTGTTACAGCTTCTCCTTGTGTGGGTGTACTTGAAAGCTTTGAAGACTATTTGTCACACAGTGATGCAATGTTTTAAGATCAAGATTTGTTTCTGAGAAAAATAAGTCAGAGCAAAACACATAAGAATATCGATTTGCAACAACAAATCCTCAAAGAAACAACTGCCCAATAAATAAGTGGGCTAAAGACTTGAAGAGAAACTTCTCTGAAGAAGAAAGGAGGAGGCCAATAGACACATGAAGAAATGCTCAACCTCCCTAGCCATAAAAGAAAGGCAAATCAAAACAACATTGAGATTCCACCTCACCCCAGTTAGAATGGCTATAATCAAGAACTCTACCAACAACAGATGCTGGAGGGGATGTGGACAGAAGGGAACCTTACTTCATTGTTGGTGGGAGTGTAAACTTGTTCAACCACTTTGGAAAGCAGTATGGAGTTTCCTGAGAAGACTTCACATAGAGCTCCCCTATGACCCAGCAATCCCACTTTTGGGCATTTACCCTAATGTTTACAAACAAGACCACACTAAAGCTACCAGCACAACTATGTTTACTGCAGCATTATTTACCATAGCTAAGATATGGAACCAACCCAGATGCCCCTCAGTAGATGAATGGATCAAGAAAATGTGGTATATATACACAATGGAATTCTATGCCTCCATCAGAAAGAATGACATTGCCCCATTTGTTAGGAAATGGAAAGGCTTGGAAAAAATTATATTAAGTGAAGTAAGCCAAGCC